AACAACAACAACAATAACAACAAAAAGAAAGGAGGAAGCTCCGTCTTACAGCCTCACCTCTCCTCCTCGCCGCCAGCTCTCGGTGCCGGGAGCTGGCACGGAGAAATTGAAGCGATCTGGCGTGTGTGTAGTGGCGGCGGCGCTCCGGGTAATGATTACCGGCGTGCGGGTAATGATTAGCGCTGCCTCTGCCCGTGTCAGCGCGTCCCCCACCCTCTCGCATAGGCGTGAGGCTCTTTTCCTGTTTCACCCCACGTATTTATTGTGGCAGTTCTGATGGAGCCACAGAGACAGAACCTCGTTTCAAAAGTCGTCGCCTTCCTGTCTAGCCAGGTGATTTTCCCGGTATTTAAAACAGAGAGGTGTGACAGAGAAAAGCGGTGTGACAGCTTCCCGCGTATATTTGTGGCTGTAGAAGGCGTCTTCACCGAGTTGTTCGTGTCTTTCCCTAGGAAATGCTCCAAAAGCTGTAGTAACCTTAGTAAGGTGAACGGCCGCCTTGACTAAAATTGCGACTGGGCGTGAGCTGCACAGCAATTCAGCAGAACTGAAGTTTGGTGAAACTGTGTTGCTGCTTCACTTGTCCATCCTATTTAGGAGCAGGTATGGACACGGAATAAAACGTCACCGTGTGTGAGAAAACAATTGTGAAGTGCTGAAATAGTACTGGTAATCTGTAAGTTGTGTTTTTGAGATGGGACTGTGGAAGCATTGAGTTCTGCACATGTGCAGACTTTTGAGGCAGAATATTAATGATCAAGGAGTTGTATTTGTGTGTATTGTCGTTGCTGCAGTATTTGGTGGAGATTTTTTTGACTGTCAGAATAGAAGTTGAGATGGTTTTGGTAATCACTTTTGGGGTCTTAATTTTCTACTGTTTCTTGTTTGCATGTTTGACCTTATATATTGTTCTTTTTACCTCCTAAACTGTGTGTGTTGGTTTGTTGTTTTTTTTTTTTTTTTTTAATTACTAATCATTATGTTATACTTCTGTTTATAAAATCAAGGGCTTAAAGTAGGTGGTGGTCAAATTAAATCATGCTTATTTACAGCCATATTTCAGGCATATGTTGTATGGTGATCTTGATATAAACTTAATCTGGTTTTGGGAAAGATTTATAGTATCTTTTGAATTTGTTATTACACTACTGTGCATACATTTTAATTTTAGTCACATCCTTATCGTCTTAATTCCCCTTGAATGTTTTGGATTTCACTATTTTGTTTTCTATGTAATTATTCCTTGCTCTGGATGAGTAAAATGGGAGATAATTTTCCTAATTTGAAGCCGTGTTCCTTTAATTTGAGGCTGTTTGTCGGCCATCAGCATTTCTGTACATGTGGCAAGGCAAAGCATGTATATTAGGCAAAACTAATTTTATATGTAACCTTGTAATGCACAAAGATGATTCCAGACAAAGCTCTCCTTGTGTCCACAGCCTTCCTTTGAGGAATACTGAGGGATCCTCAAAGAGGATGCTGTCTTCTTCCACGTCCCTCTGTGTGCTCTTTCTAGAAACAATCCTCAGCATTTTTTGTTTGTGGTGATGGCAAGGGAGGGTCCATGAGCAGTTCTGCTTGTGAGTAGCTGCAGTTCCCGGTGTAGTTTTTCCTGGTGTAGTTTTCCCTTTCCAGCGTGGCATATCTGTACGGCAGGAGGTGCTGGGAGGGGCGTTCCTTTGTTATGTTGACACTTTAATCGCACTGACGGGTGTATTCTCCTCCAGGAATTCTGTGTGACTGAAGGGATTCCTTCAGACGAGGAATATTTTCTTCAGCTGTCTCCCTGCGCCGTTAGCCCGTGCACAGAGATTAATTGCTCGGAAGATCACTGCTGTGCGCGTGCCTTTTAGGAACCCCTTGGATTGATTGTGACTTGGCTGTGGCTTTCTAGAAAAGCATGTTTCTGCTGGAGCAGCGTGTGTGTGGCAGTCCTGGCTTGTCACCCTGAGCCGGCAGCTGTGTCCAGCACCCGTGAAATAGGTGGATGTAGATGTTTGTGTGTGGGCACGGTGCTCATGCATGGTAATTGAATTAGGGCTGTCAAAGCATCTTCTGCACGTTTGAAATAAGGACCACATTCTGTGATCCCTTCTTCACAGGGCTGAGGAAACGCAGTAAATAACAAAGCTCTGTTTTGGGAGGGTTTAGTATGCTAGCAAGGAAATAAAACTGCCTTAAGAGACCTCAGTGGTTCCAAAACACCACTGTAGAGAATTTGGGTGGGTGCTAGGAAGGAGCCATGTCTCTGTAGGAGCAGATTCTCCTTCGTGTTTGAGGAAAGATGAAAACTTATGTGCGCAGGAGGGGAAGGCAGAGTTGTCCCTTCCCGTGTCCCACCACAGCCCCTGGGAAGGCTGTCCTGGTGCCTGCCTTGCCCCTGCCCTCCCCAGCACCTGGGTTTGGGGTATCTGTGCCATTCCTGGGTGCAGGAAAAGCTGCTGCCATGTCCTCATGTCCAGCCCGCCATACCCTCCTGTTCAGCGAGGCCAGTGGCATCTCCCACCCAGAACGCTTCAAGGCTCATTGCTTTGGATTTTATTTTTCAGTGGTTGCTCTTTTAAATGAAGTGAAGCTTGCTTCTCGCTCTGTTGTTGTAATACCTTGTATTCATTTTTACTGCATGCAACTGCATCTCAGAGGAGATATTTCTGCCTCTCGCTTTTTGGTGGGTTTGCGTGTGTGAGAGGGCTGGGGAGGATGCAGTAGAGATTAAAAAGCCAGTTACAACTGATGGTACAGATAAAAAGAACTCTCGTTTTCTGGAAACTGTACTGGCCGACGTGGTCTAGTCTATTTGATACAGTGGTCTTGCTGTGTAACAAAATGGACAAAAGGTAACAGGTTAATATAATAAGCAAGGTAATGTTTGCTGTATTAGCCATTGACCTTAATTCGCTTTTTTGCTGCATTGCTTTGCCTTGACTCTGTTGCGAAATACACATCACGTACTATTATAAATCTGGGAATTCTCCAACATCAAATTTGGTTCAATAAAGGCATTTTTAGGATATCCAGGTCTCTGGATGAAAAGGGAATTTTAATTACTAAGATTTTTTCCCATTTTTAACCTCCAGGTAATGTATCTTTTGTATAGAAATTATGGACAGTTTATAATTACTTTTAAAAAAAGTGAGTTTGTGCCGTGTGGTGATTTTAAGATTGTCGCAGTTTAAGAGGTTCTTTATCTGTATTGCTCTAGAAGAGAAATGAGAGAACAGAGCCCGTCATATAATTGCCGACATGCTGACTGCTGTGAGGATATATTAAGAGGCTGTGAATTGGTGTAGATAAATACTAGGATGTACGGTCAAAGAACTTTTTAAAACAATCTGGCTTGTCTTTGTACTTGGTTGTTTTAGTATTGTTTTACATTAAGGTGTACATGTTGCAAAAAAAAAGGTAAATACTTGAGTCTATTAGTTTGCTTTTTGCTTTCTCTACAAAAGCACAGTCTGTTCTCAGAGTGGATGTGCATTAGATCCTGGTTTGCACGCCTGACTCAATCAGTGCTGGAGAGAGTTTTGGTGGTTTTTTTTTTTTGCCACAGGAAAGTACGTCCCCGATTTTTATGTACTATTTTTGAGCCAAGTTGAAAGTTTGCTGCTGTGTGTCAGCGGTGGGGGGTTTGCAGGGATGAGCAGCCCTGGGGACCGAGCTGTGCTCTCCTGTGAGACATGAGGCTGGTCCCGCATGGAGTTGGCTGTAGCTTGCTCTCACCTTTGCTGTGCTCATCCTCTCCGTGCTTTTGTGCCCAGGGACGCTTCGCATTCCGGCTGTGAGCCCGAGGTGCGCTGCGATCCAGCAGGCAGGATTTCCATGGAGCCCTGTGGGTCCCGTAGATATTGTATCCGGTTCAGTGGACCTGCCTTCCCTGTGGTCGGAGGCTTTTTGTTATGCATGCATCCTAATTGTTCTTTCTGTCGGCATTGTGCGCTGACTGGAGGGGCTGTGCACCAATGCAAATCGCCTTTCTAATACCTTCCGCATTTGCATTAGAATGGCTGCATAAATATTGCAGCACATCTCAATTCACTCACTGCTTTGACTGCTGGGCTTTAAAATAGGTTCTTTCTGTAGCGCAGATCTTGTTCGTGGTTGGTATTGCTTTGGAGAGGGGTTCTGAAGTGCATCCCTATTAAATAGTGAGGCTTGTTTGTGATGAGGTGCAATTTTAACTTAGCTATGTTCTAGTCTCCCACTCCTTTCAGCCCACAGGTTGATACATGCACTTGGAGGCAAAAAAAATTCAAGCTTTAGCAGTTTTTCACCAACTATTTCTAAACTCACTATATTTGGGGTTGCAAAACATGTTTGCTTGAGGTTTTGTTTTGCGTTAATTCCAGAAATCCTATGGAGGTCTGTGAGAATATTTCCTACATAAGGAATGTGAAACGTTGTGCCACTGTTGTTTTGGTGCTGAAACATTTGTTGACTTACTGAAAGTGTCGATACAGGGATGTGACTGAAAGCAGACACTCTTTTTGGGAACCGGTGGCAGATTGCCATCACCTGTCTGTCAAAAGTTTGCTTTACAGAGTTGTTAAACAGAGCAGTGATTAGTATCACGTACTTGACTCTTAGTGATTAATAGATGCACAGAGACTTTTTAAAATCATCAGAGAGTGCAGCTTTTCTTGTGGCTATAGACTTTTTATTGATGCAATGTGTCAGATTTTGGGAATGATAGTACATGAAACTAGTATTTCTATTTTTGGCTAATTTGTTTTAATCCTAGGGTTCACTCTGTTTTATGTGTTTTAGTGTGTGAAAACTGCAGCAAGAAAGGTATGTTTAAATCACATGTTAGGGTTTTTTTAATATATCCGATGTTAGTAGCTGGTCACTCTTCCACTTGTTTGCACACGTATTAAAGCAGTATGAGTTATTCAGGTTAAGGATATGCAGAATGAGTTTGTTTTAAGAATTAAAATTACAGAAACTGTTTTCTGAAACAGTAACTGATAGCATTGTAGGAATCCTAAATTTACCTAGGATTTCTATATGATGATGGATGATTCACTTGCATGTGAAGTATTCTGTGTAGTGCTGCAAACAACATATGTATTATTATAATACAGTACTTTTAACACTTATCCTGTCAAAAAATTGTGTCTATTAGAAGTTTAGAATAACTATAGGGATGG